ACTTCTAACCCTCCCCTTCCTGCATGGGCGCAGCCGCATCTGACCTGCTGCTGCACTCGGCGCTGGTGCAGGAGACCGCCTACATCGAGGACCGGCCCCTGCACATGCTGTACTGTGCTGCGGAAGAGAACTGCCTGGCCAGCTCAGCCCGCTCAGCCAACTGGCCCTACGGCCACCGGCGCCTGCTGCGGTTCTCCTCCCAAATCCACAACCTGGGACGAGCCGACTTCAGGCCCAAGGCCGGGCGCCACTCCTGGGTGTGGCACGAGTGCCACGGGTGAGAGGGAAGGGGGTCCCGTGGAAGGGCAAGGCCATGGGGGATGGGCCAAGCCTGCTGGGGGCAGGGAAGCAAATGGGAGCCCCCTTGTGCTCCTGTGTCCCCACAGGCACTACCACAGTATGGACATCTTCACACACTACGACATCCTGACCCCCAATGGCACCAAGGTGGCTGAGGGTCACAAAGCCAGTTTCTGTCTAGAAGACACCGAGTGTCAGGAGGGTAAGTTGGGGCTAGAGTGGCCTCCAGGGCCTCCGCCACCCAGCCTTTCCTCCCACTGACACATGCCAATCTCTTCAGACGTCTCCAAGAGGTACGAGTGTGCCAACTTTGGAGAACAAGGCATCACGGTGGGCTGCTGGGATCTCTACAGGCATGACATCGACTGCCAGTGGATCGACATCACAGATGTGAAGCCAGGGAACTACATTCTCCAGGTGCCCGGAATGCAGGGCTCCCCGACGGCAAGTGGGAGGAGTGGGAGAGACACCTCTGGATTTGAAGACTGCAGCTGGGTGAAGTGGCCTTTCTCCTGCTCACAGGTGGTCATCAACCCAAACTTTGAAGTAGCAGAGAGTGACTTCACCAACAACGCGATGAAATGCAACTGCAAATATGATGGGCATCGCATCTGGGTGCACAACTGCCACATTGGTATTGGATGGGCAGACTGGGGGGAGGGAGGGAAGAGCTTTCACTCCTTGTGCCCTCACTGTCGGTGTGTCTCCACACCCCCTCTGCACCGCTCAGCCTCTCCACTTCTACCACCCTTGCCCACCCTGACTGTCTGCCTGCTCCGGAGCAGGGTGCCTCCCATGCTACCTCTCCCCTGCAGGTGATGCCTTCAGTGAAGAGGCCAACAGGAGGTTCGAACGCTACCCTGGCCAGACCAGCAACCAGATCGTCTGAAGTCCCACCTTTGTTCTCTGCAAACCACCACTGGCCCCTAATGGCAGGGGTATAAGGCTGCCATTACCTCAGGAGCTTGCCAAGGAACCCCTGATGTCAGCAGGCGCGGCCTCATCCGACAGTGCACTGTGGACATGGAACTGACAAGCGGAAGTCATGGCCTTCTTCCTAAGCCAGCTGTCAGTAGCTGTGGCCGCGCACAGGAACCTCTGCCCCCCGCCCAGCACCGAGCAGAGTGCGCCACAGAGAGCAGCACCTGACTGCCCAGAACGACAATGGATGGCAGCAGCTCACTTTCTGGAACAGGGAGGTCAGGCTGGTCAGCTCCAGGAGCTCCCCTGCGTTCAAGGGGACACAGCTTTACCTCTAGCCTTTTGGGTGGGGGAAAAGATCCAACCCCCTCAATTTTGACTATAACATGTTGCTAGGTATAATTTTATTTTATATAAAAAGTGTTCTTGCGATTCTTCATAGCCCAGGGATTGGTGCTGGTGGTTGGAGGGACCTGCCCCCCACTGGTTCATTTACTCCTCTGCCCGGTGCCCTCAGAGCCTAGGCTAGGAAGGCAGAGAGGAAACCAGAACAAGACCTCGTACTCTTGCTGACCCATTCATTCTGTCACCTCAGGGGTCACGTATAAGGTCAGTGTTTCTGATCCGCGCCGGATCCGTACTGCCAGCTGGGATTGGGTTCGAACAGCTTCATAAACATCTTCCGCATTTTGTACCAGCTGCTCCCCAATGGCCAAGATCACATCACCAGGCCGCAGACCTGCCCTGTGGGGAAAGATGGAGAGAAAGGGAGGAGACTGCCCCCTTCAAGGACCCACACACATGCCACCCACCCCTCCTCACAGCGCAGTCTCCCCTTACCGGTGTGCAGGGGAGCCCAGGATGACTTTATGGATGAGCACGCCATGCTGCACGTCAGGAAAGCTTGGCTCTCGCAGCTGTAGCTCAGCAAGGATGCTGCAAGGACACGGATCACCCTGGTAGCCACACTGCCGCACCCGCCCTCTCCTAAGTTCATCTCAAGCCTCCCATCACGCTGACACGTGTATGGACAGGACATGTACCGGTCAGTACAAAGGCGACTGATCACTTTCTGCCTCCTTGTGTTTCACAAGTGGGACATGTCCATGAAAGATAACTAATTCCAAATGACACCAGTGTTAAATCAATAGCACTAATGTCACTCTAGAATCCTGGGAAGCTTTAAGGAGCGAGTACAACTTAAGCTGAGCCTAGAAAGACGGGTCTATTAACTATGTAAAACAAGATCAGCATAAATAAAAACACGAAGCAGGAAACCAGGTTGGCTGGAACTGAGTATTCACATAGGAAGTAATGGGACCCAGGTCTGAGAGGATGATTTAGAGACATGGAAAACAGGCCAGGCTAACTAACAGCTTTAAATGAAAACAGGAACAGGATGAAATCAATCTTATGACAGGTGTACAAAATGGAGTGAGGTGAGAAGGTCAAGATGATGAGAGGGGCCAGCTCTTGGGAGAGCCCCAAATGTGAGACAGCTCATCTTAGATAAAATCAGGAAAGAAAGCAAACCAAGCTCAACGGAAGTGCCAGTTGCTCACCACTGATTCTACTGGTGGTCCCACATGTCATGACCCCAAATGCTCATACCTCGGAGTCAGAGTCAGCATCATCACTCCAATGTAGCGGCGCTGGGACCCACTGATTCCAAACCAGGAATCTGTGATACAGGGATGAATGAGCCCCATCCAGCTACATCCTTCCTTCCCCCTCACAACAGACTCCTCCTCCAGCAAGTCCCAAAGAATGTCCCACCCAGCTCTTAAAGGGAACCCCCACCCCTTGAGCCAGCCTCACTTTTCTTTTCTCCTCGATGCAAAAACTCCCGAAGGCGATCAGAAGGGATGGCAAAGGAGATTCCAGCTGTGACCTTCATGGTGTTCACTCCAATCACTTCCCCATCCTGCAGGGACACAGCCCCCTGTTCCCTAGCCCAAACAGATAGTAGGGGATGGGGGCCCCCGGAACACGAGTAGAAGCATGGAGTGTTGGGGGAATCTGTATTGGGAGACAGGCAACAAGAGCCTGCTCAGAAACATAAGCAAACATCCTAGAATTACTGAAGCCCCTCCCCTCCTCACACTGACCTGGGGCCTTGGAAGAAGAATGTCCCACTCACCAGGTTAACCAGGGGACCTCCAGAGTTTCCAAACTGCAGCACAAGGAGAAAACATGGGAAAGGTCTGGGAATTCTAAGTCTGGGGACACACACAGGAGGTAGGCACTCTCTCCAAACTTCTCTGCTTCCCCAACCCATACATGAGTGTGGCCACATTTCTGCAGCCCAACCTCTACCACCCCTCAGTTGGCACCTGTACCACCCAGCTCACCCTTGCCCGGACCTAGTCTGCCAATGCAATGCCCTCGCATCAGGACGCACATCAATAGCTGCATCAGTCTGAATGTATTCCACATTGGTTTGGGGGAGTCCCAGGTCTCTGGCTGGGCGCTGAGCAGAGCTGACAATGCCAGATGTGATCGTGTTCTGCAGCGCAAAGGGACTTCCCATGGCAACAACAAACTCCCCTTGCCGCACATCAGCCGAGCGTCCCAGAGGCAGTGTGGGGAGAGGCTCCTAAGGGAGAACGGGTACAGGAGACCTGTCATCTGGTGACGGGAGCTACAAGACAACTCCACACAAACCTGGCCTGCCCCCACCCCGACCCCCACCTTGGTCTGTATCCTCAGCGTGGCGATGTCTGCCACGGGATCCACAGCGGTGACCATGGCCTCATATGTGTCGCCGCTAGGCAGCCTCACGCGGACTCGGCGCCGATCAGCCACCACATGGGCATTGGTAACGATGAGCCCGTCGGCCGCCACCACGAATCCTGAGCCGTTTGAGATAGGAACTTCGCGGCCCGAGAAAGGGTGCCTGGGATTGCCGCAGGGGTAAGGGGGCCTGGGTATAAGGAGGCTCTGACCACCCCACCACCACCACCACCACCACCACCGCTTGCCCGCCTCTAGGCCTGTGGCTTCAGTGCCTTCCAGTCAACCCTGTCTTTACCGGTCCAGGATCTCGATATAGACCACAGCAGGTGCCGTCTTCTCAACCACGTCTGCGATGAAGTTGTACTGGCTCCGCGGAGAGGTTGGCGGCGGAGCAGGGACTGAGGCGAGGACAGCCGGGGGACCCCGACCCCCGCCCCACAACAACAACAGCACCGCCCCCCCAGCGCCCAGCGCCACCGCCAGCCACACGCGTGGACGGGTTCCAGGGGTCCCCGAGGCCTCCCGCGGCCTGGAATCTGGGGCCCCTGCAGTCAGTCGTGGCCGGGGATCCGGGGACCCAGACGTCAGAAACGCCCGGGGTTCAGGGACCCCCACAGCCAACCGGGCCCGGAGACTGGGGGTCCCATAGGTCATCCGGGCCCGGAGGTCAGGAGTTCCTGACGTCAGCAGAGCCCGCAGGTCAGAGGTCAACAGGGGTCCCTTCCCCCATCGAATGCCCCCCAAAGCCCGCAATCCCCAGAGGCTCCAGCCTGCACCCCGCCCCGCCCTCAGCGCAGCCATCCGCTCCGCCTCGGCTGCCTCCTCGCCCGCCCTTCTCAGAGGCGGTGCCCAGGACGTAAGCGGGCGGACAGCAAGACGCGGCGCACGCCGGTATCTGAAGTCCTCCAGAAGTGCACGCCGGGACGCAGGATCCCGGAAAGTCGACGCCGCCCCGCCCCGCCCCGCCCCGCGAATGCCGGGAATTGTGGTTCCCGAGGGACGCGAGTTCCAAGGCGGCCCAAGGGGCCGCGGGGCATGCCGGGACCGCTAGCCCTTCCGGGGCGCCTCCGGACTTCGGGTTCCAGCACCCTGGGCGGATGCCCAAAGACTCCGCCTTCCCAGGAGCCCCTGCGGCCGGGCGCGAAGATGGCGGCGGCGACGGCCGGACACCCCTAAAGCAGCTGCTATGGAGCCTCCCCCGGCACCGGGGCCGGAGCGGCTCTTTGATTCGCACCGGTAAGAGCTTTCGCGGGAAGAAGCCAGCTCCCGGGCCGTCTCGACCTTCGGCACCCGATCACGTCGCCTTTCTCCCGCAGGCTCCCAGGTGACGGCTTCCTGCTCCTCGCGCTGCTGCTTTACGCGCCCGTCGGGTTCTGCCTCCTCGTCCTGCGCCTCTTTCTCGGGATCCACGTCTTCCTGGTCAGCTGCGCGCTGCCAGACAGCGTCCTTCGCAGGTTTCAATTCGGGGGCTCGGAGAGTGTCAGGAGTGGGCCCGGCCCGAGGCCGCACCGTCACTACCGCCTGTGTCCCCAGGTTCGTGGTGCGGACCATGTGTGCAGTTCTGGGACTCGTGGCCCGCCAGGAGGACTCTGGACTCCGGGATCACCGCGTCAGGGTCCTCATTTCCAATCACGTGACACCTTTCGACCACAACATCGTCAACCTGCTCACCACCTGTAGCACCGTGAGTGGGGGCCAAAGCCCCGCAGGGCAGTTCCTGGGGACCCAGCTCAAGGCTCGCCTATCCCCGTCGGGTTTCCCTTGGGCGATACAGAACCTTTCCCCTAATCCCGCTCCTTTACCCTCACATCAGTTTCCCTCATTTCCCTCCATGGGTTTCTTCTTGCTTTGTCTCCTCCGCGGTCCCCAGCCTCTACTCAACAGTCCCCCCAGCTTTGTGTGCTGGTCTCGGGGCTTCATGGAGATGGACGGGCAGGGGGAGCTGGTGGAGTCCCTCAAGAGATTCTGTGCTTCCACGAGGCTTCCTCCCACCCCTCTGCTGCTGTTCCCCGAGGAAGAGGCCACCAATGGCCGGGAGGGGCTTCTGCGCTTCAGGTAGGTGAGCACAGATATCGGGCTCAGTTGGGTAGGTGGGTTTCCACAGCCTTGTTTGGTTTCTACGCTCTCCGTCCCCAGCTCCTGTCCTTTCGGTGCGCTTTTATTTCTTCACCCTCAATCCCTTCTCTTCATCTGCTTGTGCAGTTTGATAGTTTCCTGTTTTAAGGCAGATGTGAGCTACTGATTGGGCTGACTGGACTCCCATCCTCCTCTGTCTTCCTCTTCTAGCTCCTGGCCATTTTCCATCCAGGATGTGGTACAACCTCTTACCCTGCAAGTTCAGAGACCCCTGGTCTCTGTGGTGAGTGTGTGGGGAAGGGAAGCTTCGGGTCTTGGAGGGGAAGTTTTTCACCCCCAGCCCTGGCTCGGGCCTCACTTCATGCCCTCCTCTCAGACGGTGTCAGATGCCTCCTGGGTCTCAGAACTGCTGTGGTCACTTTTCGTCCCTTTCACGGTGTATCAAGTAAGGTATTAACTGTCCTCGCTTTTTGGTGGCTGGGGAGAGGCTCACCTCAAGGTCAAAGTAGTGGCCTCTGCCTTATCCTTTTGTAGATTTTTAAGGTCAAGGTTTCACCAGAGTATTTACTATCTCTCTGTTCTTGCCACTGCTGTTCCATGAAGAGGTACCCAAGTGGGGAAGGGGTGACAGCCTCCACCCTGGGTACCCCCCACATGACCCTGGATTGTTTTTTCCAGGTGGCTTCATCCTGTTCATCGCCACCTGGGAGAAGGAAGTGAGGAGTTTGCACTCCGTGTGCAACAGGTGGTTGGGTACACAGGCAGGGCGGAGGTGGAGCCCCTCCTCCTTAGAAGGCTTGAGATCTTGACACTTCAATCTTCCAATTCTCTCTAGCTGGTGGCCAAGGAATTAGGCCAGATAGGGACACGGCTTACCCCAGCAGACAAAGCAGAACACATGAAGCGACAAAGACACCCCAGACTGCGCCCTCAGTCAGGTGTGTGGTCTTTGTACACAAAGGTTCTTGATTTTTTTTTCCAGCCTACTGTGATTTCTTCCCTATTCCCTTGCTACTCAGCATCTGCTTCTTCCCGTTCTCTACTTACCATATTAATTTATTATTTTTACAGCCCAGTCTTTCTCTCCTTCGCCTGGCCCTTCTGCTGATGTGCAACTGGCAACTCTGGCTCAGAGAGTCAAGGAAGTTTTACCCCATGTGCCACTGGGCGTCATCCAGAGAGACCTGGGTATGGGAAAGGGTGAGAGATGGGCACAGGAAGGAAAAGTAGGAAGGAAGATGGAGAGCTGGGAATAGACTCCCTTCTCTTTTCCCTCCTTCCCAGCCAGAACTGGCTGTGTAGACCTGACCATTACTAATCTGCTTGAGGGGGCTGTGGCTTTCATGCCTGAAGACATCACCGAGGGAACCCAGTCCCTTTCAACAGCTCCTACCCCCAAGGTGAGACCCAGGAAACGGTCAGGTCCAAGACTTGGAGTGGGCTGGGGCAGCCACATACTCCCTGTCCCTGACCTCTTTTTGATCCTGAGACCCTAGCACAGTGCCTCTCTTGCAAAGTAGGCATTCGATGCGTGTTTAATGATGATGACTCCGCAAGCCCTCTGACATTGTGATCACCTCAGTTCCCCAGCTCTGGCTCGGCGACACCTCAGCCCACAACCCTAACATTTGCCAAGTCTTCCTGGGCCCGGCAGGAGAGCCTGCAGGAACGCAAGCAGGCACTATATGAATATGCAAGAAGGTGAGGGGGTTAGAGAGCAATAAGAAGGGACAAGTTGGAGAAGGGAATTATGGCCCTAATATACAAAACCTATACAGTGTCTCTCCCTATGTCCCACAGGAGATTCAAAGAGAGACAGGCCCAGGAGGCTGACTGAGCTCAAAGGAACAGAATGGCACCCAGAGCCGCAGGACGGAGACTGGGGGCAGCCCTCACCCAACTCACAACAGGCTGGAAGGGTGGGTGGTAAAAAGGGAGGGGTGGGGCTCCCCCAATCTCACATTAAATTCAGGGTTTTCACTCAAGGTCTCTTGCCTCTCTGGGTCTCAAAGCCCTGTGAGCAGTTTGCTTTTCCCATGAAAATGGGAGTGAGAATCTCCTTGTAGGTTTGTGGGGAGTGATCAAAATGGTTAAAACTGCCTGAAATTATCTCCTCGTGCCAAGAGGTGCATGATATTAAGGAAATCTAACTGAACCAAAGACCTCTCAACAACTGGACCCCAACTTGGGTGTTCAGTTCAAGTTTGTGAAGCCGCTGCCGCAAAACTACAAACCCCAGAATGCCTTTCTCAAGCACAATACACAACATCTGCCAGGTCACACATGCTCAGTATGGTGGCTGCAGCCTATTTTCCATAGACTGCTAAATTAAATAAAGTGGAGCAAATGGCCCCACCCCCAAAGCAAGTTTCAAGATTAAGAGTGTGAGCCTAGCCCCAGGGCGGAGCCGGAATTTACCTTTGTACTTTGCTGGGTCAGGGTTGGTAATGACTGGCTGGGTGTGTCTGGAACCGGCTGCCATCCTGACACGTCTCAGAGCTGCAAGCAGGTTTGAATCCAGAATTTTTGTGGCCTGTCCTTCCCACCCCTTCCTGTTCCTTCCCTTATTTATCCTTGTCCCCTTGGGACCTTCCCATAGGTCATTGGGTCTTTTAATTCTTGCTGCCCGGAAGGACCCCAGTGCTGGTCACAAGCTTTCTACCGCCTGACAATAGGGGGAAAGTCCCTTATAAAAACCCAGTGCTGCTTCCTGGCCAACTGGAAAGGCTGGACCCCAGGGCATTGTTACCTGAGGGTAGAGCTTAGGGATCAGGACCAAGGTGGGAAGGTGGTATGGTAATTCACCAAATATGGGACCTTACTGGCTGTCCTGACTCCTATAGGTCCTGCCGAACAGCTACCATGGCCTCTCAGCCTCTGGGGCTGACAGAAGAATCTGGCCCGAGTCCTGGGGACTCTGAACTGGCTGTGAATCCCTTTGATGGGCTGCCCTTCTCTTCCCACTACTACGAGCTCCTTGAGCGGCGCCGAGCATTGCCCATTTGGGCTGCTCGCTTTAAATTCTTGGAGCAGTTGGAGAGTAGCCCCACTGGAGTGGTGCTGGTGTCTGGGGAGCCTGGCTCGGGCAAAAGCACCCAGGTGGGGGGAGATTCTGGGAGTGGCCAAAGGGAGGGACTACGGAATTGGCTTTTCCCTGGGCAAGGGGTGGGGTGGGTGGACTGAGCTATGTTGGGTTAAGGGGGAGGTGGGCAAAGGGTTAAGCCGGTCCCAGAAGGCTGGTGAAAAGCCCAGGGATTTCACAAACAAGGAAACATTAAAGGCCATTGTTTGCTCAGCACCTCTGACTGAAGTCCTACATTGCCCTGACTGGTTGTCCTTCCTGCCCTACCCCAGATCCCTCAGTGGTGTGCAGAGTTTGCGTTGGCCAGGGGATTCCAGAAGGGCCAGGTTACCGTTGCTCAGCCTTACCCTCTGGCAGCCCTGAGCCTGGCTGTGCGGGTTGCTGATGAGATGGACCTGACCCTGGGTCATGAGGTTGGATACAGCATCCCCCAGGAGGACTGCACAGGGCCTGAGACCCTGCTCAGGTGGGGTCCTCCACAGGCCTGACCGGAACCTAATCCCCGTCACCACGTGAAAATCTCACCCCCTTTTCTCACCATACCCTCCCCAGCCCAGCTCACCCTTTAAATCATGCACAGTGCAACTGTTAAACTAAGCCCTTGAACTCCAGCCAAGTGCCTCAGATAGTGAACCTCATCCCCATCATGCGAATCGCGCTTCCCAGCTGGAGTTCAGCTCTGGGGTTAGGGAGTCACAGTCATGGGTCCACAGACAGTCACAGAATCTTTTTCTGACTTTCAGTAACAAAACCCAAGTCCCTTGAGAAGTTCCCCTGGACTTCTCAGGCTGGTCAGTATCCACACTGACTCCCCTGCCCACTACCAATGTCTACAGGTTCTGCTGGGACAGACTGCTTCTGCAGGAGGTGGCCTCAACCCGGGGGCCTGGAGCCTGGGGTGTGCTGGTGCTGGATGAGGCTCAGGAGCGGTCGGTGGCTTCAGACTCACTGCAGGGGCTCCTGCGAGATGCCAGGCTGGGAAATCTTCCAGGGGACCCTAGAGTGGTTGTGGTTACCGACCCAGCCCTTGAGCCTAAGCTGCAAGCCTTTTGGGGCAATCCTCCTACTGTGCACGTACCCAGAGACCCTGGTGGGAGTCCCACTCCTGTCTTCAGGGGCACTGCGCCTACTGATCTGGTGGAAGCTGCCTGCCACGCTGTGCTCGAGTTGTGTCAGAAGGAGGCTCCAGGAGACGTGTTAGTGTACCTGCCTGGTGAGGAGGTACTCTGTGCATACTGCTTTCCTGTGCTGGAGTATGGGGGGGGGGGGGGGGGGCAGTGGAGTGGTTGGGATCTGGGATCCTGGGGGAAAACTCCACAAAGGCAGGATAAAGAGGTCCTACCACCCACTTCCTGATTCCTCTGATGCAGGTATTTACAGCTCAATGAACCCCTGAAGTTATAGCGCCCCCAACTTTATGTGCATTTTTTAGAGTGGAGGGTTAACTTTTCAAAGGGTCTGTGACCCCTAAAAAGTGACTACTGCCCTAATGCCCCTCCCCCTCTCCTCAGGAAATAGCCCTGTGCTGTGAATCCTTGTCCAAGGAGGTGGGGTCCCTGGCTCTCCCAGGGCCTCCACCGCGGGTGCTACCCCTTCACCCAGGCTGTGGTCAAGCCGTTCAGGCTGTATACGAGGATGTAGACACAGGCGCCCGAAAAGTGGTGGTCACTCACTGGCTGGCTGACTTCTCCTTCTCCCTCCCTTCCATCCGCCATGTCATTGACTCAGGACTGGAGCTTCGAAGTGTGAGTGAGAAAGAGATGGGGGCGGCGGGGGGGAGGCCAGGGCTAAAGCTGGAAACGGCCCACCCTGATCTGTCCTGGACTTGGTTGGGGGCGGGCAACAGGTTTACAATCCTCGGATCCGAGCAGAATCCCAAGTGTTGAGGCCAATCAGCAGGTGCCAGGCTGAGGCAAGACAACGGCGGGCAAGAGGGTTCTCCTCAGGTAAGAGCCGCTGCCCTTGCCGAGGTCAAGCACTAGAAGAGTCCCCTGCGTGCAGGCCTGAGACGTCTACAGTGGCTTCTTTCCCAAGTCTTTCTCCCCCCAGGATCCTGCCTCTGCCTGTATCCCAAGTCCTTCCTAGACCTAGAGGCTCCCCCACTGCCCCAACCCAGGGTGTGGGAGGAGAATCTGAGCCCCCTGGTGTTACTACTGAAGAGGAGACAGATTGCAGAGCCAGGAGAGTGGCGCTTCCTGGACCGGCCTGGTGAGCAGCCGGCCTGCCCAGGGGCTGCGGTGTGACCGCTCAGTTCTGAGACCTCACGCCCTCAAAGCCCTGTTTCCTCACTAGCTCCAGAAGCGCTGATGCAGGCCCTGGAAGACCTAGACTACCTGGCAGCCCTGGATGACGATGGCGACCTGTCAGACCTGGGAGTCGTCCTATCAGAGTTTCCCCTGCCCCCTGAGCTGGCCAAAGCACTGCTGGCCTCCTGCGAGTTTGATTGTGTGGATGAGATGCTTACCCTCGCCGCCATGCTCACTGGTATAAATCTCTGCTATAAACTAATAGCTTTGTGGCCAGCCTTTTCCCCTCTGCTCCAGTCCCCACCCCTCACAGAGCCTAGAGAACGAAGTTTTAATCATCTTTCCCTCTCTTTAGCCTTTTTCCCTGATGTTTCCTCCCCCTCAGTAGGCCTAAATCTCTCCTAGCTGTTGTTACTAAAACACACACCCCTCTTCTTAAACCCTTTCATCTCCTCGAGCTACACAGAATGATCTGTGACACACACACACACACACACACACACACACACCGTATCCAGTGTGTTGCTCCCTCGCTGCATTCCAGCTTCAGGCCCACATACCACTTAAATGGCTTTCAGGTCGCCAGTGACCTCCCAGGTACCTCATCTAAATGCCCTGTTGGCCCTTATACATAGTTTCTATACATTTGAGAGTGCTGACTGCTCCTACGTTGAAACTGTCTCCTCCCCAGCCTCTGTGATGCCCCCTCCCTTGGTTTTCATCCTACCCTGGGCATTCCCTTAATCTCTGCCTTGGGTTCTTCATCATTCTGCTTGTCCGTTTTAACTTGGTCTTCACGGCTCTAACCTTGGCCCTTTGCTCTTCTTGTTCCCTCAACTCTCTGAGCAAGTTAATCCACACCCATAACTTAAAGTGCTACCTTTATACTTAAAATTTTCAAACCTGTACTTTGTAAGCTATTTGTAGACCCTTCTTCTGGTGGGGGTAGGATAAGGAGAGGAAGAGGGAGAGAGGGGAAGAGAGAGAGAGATCGCCAACATTTCTACCAGAATAGTTCATAGCACCTCAACTCAAAACTGAACTCATGCACTGTATTAAACTACCCCATTACCACATTCCAAAATCTTACTGTCTCTCGATCCTCAGCATCAGATAATACCATCATCTCTGCTGGTCTACTACCCATCATTCTAGACTAATCTTTCTCCAGGTTCTTCCATGTTTATCTTCTAAATGTGTTTAAAAATCCATCTGCCTCTCTCCATATACTGCCAGTGCCAACAATACTCCTCGTCACTGCTCAGCTGGTTTCCTTCAGTAATCTAACTAGTCACAGGAATATTTCCAAAACCACGGACTCTCTGACTTAAAACCCTTCAAGACGGGTTGTAAACTCCATTACACAGCACACCCAGCCTCTCATGACCTGGCCTATACCTTCCTCTCCAGCTTTATCCCCTGCCATTCTGTCACCTGTCATTCCCTCCACCCATACCAGGTAGTTAGCCATTCCTCAACTATGCCATGCCATCAGCTTTTATACCATGCTCTTCCCGCAGTCTAGAATATTCTCCCTGCCCCTTCTCCACTCAGCTCATTCAAACTTCAAAAACTGTTGCCACCTCACTGTCATCCCCACCATGCAAAGCTTGGGTTTAGGTGCCCTACTCTTAATTTCTAGAATACTACATGCACATCCCCATCATGCTTATAAAGCTGCTTCCTTCTTGTTCTTTCCCACCAGACTCTACTCTCCTGGGTGGCAGAGACTGTCTTTCACTTACTATCATCCTTGGTACCTGAGGGGGATTGGTTCCAGGACCTCTTACAAAATCTGCAGTTCTGCAAGTCCCTTATATAAAATGGCAGAGTGTTTGCACATAATCTATCCTCTTATATACCTTAAATCATCTCTAGATTATTTATACAAGGGACTTCAAAAAGCTCATGGAAAATGGAATGAAAATATGGTATAGGGGTGGACATTTAGCCTAGCAGTGAAGATGCCCATGTCTCATGTCAGAGTATCTGGGCTTAATTCTCAGTACTGGCTGCTGACTGCAACTTCCTGCTAATGCAGACTCTGGGAGGCAGGTAATTGGGTCCCTGCCACCCACATGGGAGTTCCCAGTTCCTAGCCCTGCCATGGTCCAGTCCAGGTCGTTGTGTGCATTTGGGGAGTAAACCAACAGGTGGGAGAGCTCTTGTATTCTTGTTTACTCTGTCTCTCTCTCTCGTTCTCTCTCTTAGCCTCTCAAATAAAATTAAAATTAAAAAGTTAAAAACTTGCAAACTTTCTAAGGACTTTTAAAGCCTCTGTAATACCTAATACAATATAAATGCTATCTAAATAGTTGTTATACTGCTTAAGAGATAGTTGTTATACTGTTTAGGGGACGACAAGGAAAAAAATCTGTTCATGTTCAGTACAAAGTTTTTCCAGGCCGGCGCCGCGGCTCACTAAGCTAATCCTCCGCCTTGCGGCGCCGGCACACCAGGTTCTAGTCCTGGTCGGGGTGCCGGATTCTGTCCCGGTTGCCCCTTTTCCAGGCCAGCTCTCTGCTGTGGCCAGGGAGTGCAGTGGAGGATGGCCCAAGTGCTTGGGCCCTGCACCCCATGGCAGACCAGGAGAAGCACCTGGCTCCTGCCATCGGATCAGTGCGCCGGCCGCAGCGGCCATTGGAGGGTGAACCAACGGCAAAGGAAGACCTTTCTCTCTGTCTCTCTCTCTCACTGTCCACTCTGCCTGTCAAAAAAAAAAAAAAAAAAAGTTTTTCCAAGTATTTTCAATCTGTGTTTTATTAAATCCACAAATGTGGAACACACAGATATGGAGGGCTAACTGTATTTATCCTCGGTGTCTAATACAGTGCATAGCACCTAGAAGTTATTGATGTTTTTTGAATAAATTCCCAAATGGATATTTCTACCTTTTCTTTTTTTTTTTTTTTTTTGACAGGCAGAGTGGACAGTGAGAGAGAGAGACCGGGAGAAAGGTCTTCCTTTGCTGTTGGTTCACCCTCCAATGGCCGGCGCGGCCGGCGCGCTGCGGCCGGCGCACCGCGCTGATCCGATGGCAGGAGCCAGGAGCCAGGTGCTTTTCCTGGTCTCCCATGGGGTGCAGGGCCCAAGCACCTGGGCCATCCTCCACTGCACTCCCTGGCCACAGCAGAGAGCTGGCATGGAAGAGGGGCAACCGGGACAGAATCCGGAGCCCCAACCGGGACTAGAATCCGGTGTGCCGGCGCCGCAAGGCAGAGGATTAGCCTAGTGAGCCGCGGCGCCGGCCTATTTCTACCTTTTCAACATTCCACCAATATTACTACCCCTTCTCATTCCCCAAAACTGCCTTCCTCTCTCCCGTCTTCAGCCGCCCCTGGGTTTACCCGTCCACCACTCTGTGCAGAAGAAGCTGCCCTGCGTCGGGCCTTGGAACATGCAGATGGTGACCACAGCTCTTTGATCCAGGTGTATGAAGCCTTTATACAAAGTGAGTGGCCCACTCTGCATTCTCTTATGGAATTCTAGATCTCAAGGGGAACAGCATGCCTCAGCTAACAGCCCTCTGGGCTCTTTGGTCAAGGGTTGGGTTCTTCCAGGGGTCTCAATGGTCATAGTTGTGGCTGGTCCCTTTCCTCTCGTAGGTGGAGCAGATGAGGCCTGGTGCCAGGCTCGGGGTCTAAACTGGGCAGCATTATGCCGAGCCCGTAAACTTCGGGAAGAGCTCCTAGAACTTATGCAGCGAATTGAACTTCCCTTGTCCCAACCAGCCTTCGGCTCTGAGCAGAATCGCAGAGACCTTCAGAAAGCACTGCTGTCGGGATACTTCCTTCAGGTGATAAAGGGGTGACAAAAGGAGCAAAAGGCAGAGGGAACAAATATTACTGTGCCACCTCTAAAACCGGGGTCCAAGTGACCATTCAAAGTACCCTTTAGGGGGCTGGCACTGTGGTTAAGCCACCCATGGCATCCCATACTAGAGTGCCGGTTGGAGTCCCAACTGCTCTGCTTCTGATCCAACTCCTTGCTAATTCACCTGAAAAAGCAGCAGAAAATGGCCCAAATAATTGGGCCTCTGCCACCCACATGCAAGACCCTGATGGAGTTCCTGGCTCCTGGTTTCAGAGCCTAGCTCCTGAGCGTGGCTCAGACCTGGCTGTTGTGGCCATCTGGGGAATGATACAGTGAATAGAATCAATCTCAATCTCTCTCTCTCTCTCTCTCTCTCTCTCTCTCTCATCTTTCAGAAATATAAATCAGTATATATTTTTTAAATCCCTTAGACCAGGAGGGACTTTTCCTTTGAGGCTTTGAGGTACAAGGGGCCATGGGAAATAGTGTATGGTATAGTAGGGACCAGACCTACTACACCTAGAAGTAATGCTTTCCCTTTAAAACTTACACCTTCCTTGCTAATTCCTTTCAGCCCACTTTTCTTTTTTCTGCTGGTGCCTCTTCCCTTTACTTATTCCTACACTACCTTTGTTTTTTCAATAAGGTGGCCCGAGACACAGATGGGACTGGAAATTACCTACTGCTAACACACAAGCATGTGGCCCAGCTCTCCTCATACTGCTGCTACCGAAATCGCCGGGCTCCTGCCAGACCCCCACCCTGGGTGCTATATCACACTTTCTCCATATCCAAAGACAACTGCCTTTCCATTGTTTCTGAGATTCAACCACAGATGTGAGTTCCTGACACCCTGCTACACTGCCCACCCCTCTTCTTGAGGCCAAAATTAAGGCTGGGGAATGAGAGGCACTTAAGAAGGGTGGTTTCTTAGTAGTTTGTAGTAGCATATGGTGAAGGAGAGAGGGTTTGAGGAAGAGGTGGCAAGAAGTTCAAGTCTGCATTGTAAGAGATGACACAAATCATCTAATTATGACTCTGTCTGTCAGGCTGGTGGAGTTGGCGCCCCCATACTTCCTGAGTAACTTGCCCGCCAGTGAGAGTAGAGACCTGCTGAACCAGCTGAGAGAAGAAATGGCAGATTCATCAGCAGGAAGTGGACCCTCCCCCACCAAGGAGTTCAGAGATGCCTGTGTCCTGCAGTGACCTGCCTGCCTGTGGAACCCTGTTGAACTCATCTTGTGCCATTAGATCCTCCCCTGGACTAACCATGAGGCCATTGGCCAGATTTAGAAGCCCAAAGGTTAGGGTGAAATGTAAATCCTGGGGCCTGAGCCCTAAGATATGGTGGGCTGGGAGTGGAGGGAATGGGATCAGCCACTGTCTGTACAGAGTAGGACCCTTCCCTTAGACTCCCATTGATTACAGACCTGCTCCCCATTCCTCCATCTTCTGCGCTTGGTCCATAAAAGATGCCAAAATTTGAATTGTTCTACAACACCATGTACTTGGGCAACATCCATGAGTCAGCAATGACTCTGTAGCAAAGATCCAGGGCCAGCTCCTACAGCTGCCACCACACATGCCTGGTGTCCACCTCGGGGCCTTCATGCTGGGACTGACATGTCTCTAGCACAGAATAGGAGACAGCTTTCTGGCCCCGCCTCTTCCCTCTGTCACACAGCACTCCAGCCTCCAGGGGAGGAGGAATGGGAGTGCTAGTGCAATCAGACAAGACCTTCCCTTTCTGGGGGCAGGCGCTGTGGCGTAGCAGGTAAAGCTGCCACCTGTATCCATATGGGTGCCAGATAGAGTGCCTGGGAAAGCAGTGGATGATGGCCCAAGTCCTTGGGCTCCTGCACCCACGTGAGAGAACTGGAAGAAGCTCCTGGCTCCTGGCTTCGCATCAGCACAGCTCTGGCTGATGCGGCCAACTGGGGAGTGGACCATCAGATGGAAGACCTCTCTCTCTCTCTCTCTCTGCCTCTCCTTCTCTCTGTGTGTAACTCTGCCTTTCAAATAAATAAATCTTTTTTTTAAAAAAACTTATCTTTCTTCCTCATACACCTTAAATCCCACTCCTTTTTAAACCTGAAGTCTTGGCCGGCGCCGCGGCTCACTAGGCTAATCCTCTGCCTTGCGGCGCCGGCACACCGGGTTCTAGTCCCGGTTGGGGTGCCGGATTCTGTCCCGGTTGCCCCTCTTCCAGGCCAGCTCTCTGCTGTGGCCAGGGAGTGCAGTGGAGGATGGCCCAAGTGCTTGGGCCCTACACCCCATGGGAGACCAGGAGAAGCACCTGGCTCCTGGCTTCGGATCAGCGCGCCGGCAGCGGTGGCCATTGGAGGGTGAACCAACGGCAAAGGAAGACCTTTCTCTCTGTCTCTCTCTCTCTCTCACTGTCCACTCTGCCTGTCAAAAAAAAAATTAAAAATAAATAAATAAATAAACCTGAAGTCTTCAGCAACCATCCCCTCCAATTTTGAACCACAAGCTTCCCAGCAGCCCTGGGGGCCACCCCCAAACTGAAGCCTTTTTCCTACAGCTTCAGAGCTATCATGCTTTCCTTTCTTGCTGGCTGGGAGTTCCCTCCCCCTCTCTGCCCTTGGTATCCCCCACCATCTTGCACATGGGATATGTGTTTGTAGAATTTGGCAGAAAGAATGATCTGGTCCTTGGAACTCTGTCAGCAGAACTCCCTCCCTTGGAGATTCTGTTATCGTTCCATCTCCACCTCTGCGTGGATGTCAACCCATCCCCCTCCGGGGAGGGGGGGGCACTTTCCCGGAAGTTATTCTAAGTCTAGCACTTAGTTTCACCCACAATCTCTTCAGTCTTCCCAATATCCTTGTCATCCTCCACATCGCCAAGCTGGTAACTCTCTCATTCTTCTCAGGCTTGCCACTTGCAAGTTATTTGCCAGACTGTGCTCCCCCTACCTCCACTCTGGCCACCATCTCCGCCTCTCCCCTCCGCCCCTGTGGACGGCCAGAGCCAGATTTTCTTTCTAGGTTTCCTGTGCCGCCGGGTGTGTAAGCCCCGTCTCACCTACAGCCCACGCTCGTTGTGAAGCTCAAGAGGGAGGAAGCGGCCGGCGGGCGAGACGCACAGGACAACAGGAGGCCCGAGGTCAGGAAGAAATCCTTAGCGCTTATTTTACAGTCGAGGGATGAAACGCCCCGTGTGGACAGCCCTCTGGTTCCTGGCAGAAGCAGCCAGACTCTCGAGCTGCGGCACCTCTTCCCTGACTCCGCGGCGGCTGGCGTCTCGTTTCCTTTGGCGCAGACCCAGTCAGCACGCGCTACAGCGAGCGCGGCTCACGCCCGCGGGAACTCCAACTCCGGGCCCCTCATCAGCTGGTCCGGAGTCCCGCAGGAGAGCAGCTCCCATTGGCCAGCCCGCCCCCTCCCCACACCTCATTGGCTACAGTCCTGTAGGTCCCGCCTCCTTGCGCCTGGGGTTCCAGCCGCCGAATAACGGCAGTTGCGAAAAATGGCGGGAAAGGTCGTGTCTGAGTGCGCCCCGCACCCGCTCAACGCCGGCCAGGAACCTGCCGGTGGCGAAAGAGGCCTCGACGACAGCCTCAAGGCCTGTGCTCCTCACATGCTCGGCGGTCGCGGGACCGTGGGCGCGGCGACCGCGGGTTCCACTGCCTTGGGCCCAGCTCTGCACGCAGCGCCTGGGTCCGGAAAGAGCGCTCGGCCAGTCAGGTGTAGTTCACACGACAGAGGCGAGCCCGGACACGGAAGCCACCTTGTTGTCCTCGGCCCAAGGCTGCAGGTTCTGCAGTGCGAAGAGCGACGAGTTATGCAGGCAGAGCGGGTCCGGGGGCAGCGGTGGCCGCAGGGGCCGCGGGAGCGCGTCCTGTTGCAGGTGCAAGAGCAGGCGGCCCGCACGGTGCCGCTCAGCCTCGCGCTCCTCTGCCGTCTGGCGCCTGGGCAGGTGGAGACACGGGGTCAGCCAGGCTGGCCCCGGCCCACCTCGCGCCCCGCCACCACCTGGCCCTGCCCGCCGGCCCCAGTCCGCCCGCGCCTGCACCCGCGCCCGCGCTGAGCCTCACCGCCACTTGGTGCGTCGGTTCTGGAACCATGTCTTGACCTGTGCGTCGGTCATGCGCAAGGCCTTGGCCAGTGCGGCTCTCTCTGCCGAGGCCAGGTATTTCTGGCGCAGAAAGCGCCGCTCCAGCTCCAGCACCTGCGAGCGGGAGAAGGAGGTGCGCGGCTTCTTCCGCTTCGGCGGGGTCCGGTTCTGGTAGGGGTGGCCTATGCGGCGCGTCCCGGAGAAGGGCGAGAGCGCAGCTACCGGGAGAAAGAAAGAGCAGGGCAGGGTTTGCAGGGTGCCCGCGGTGTGGCCGAGAGAGCGCCCGGTCCCTTGGCGGCTCATCGGCAGAGGCCTCTGGAGGAGAAAGGACCTCGGGAGAAACAACCTTCCCTTGGGGAGAGGGAGCGACGTTCCCCCACAACCTCACCCACCCCTCCCCGCAGCGCGGACCGTGGGATTGAAGAAGGGGACGCGGGCACCGACGGCAGCTCCCTGCCCATCGCCTCTCGTCGGCAGACCTAGAGATCCGCGTGGGGAGGGATCCGCGGGAGCGACCTGGGGAGCCATGAACGGTTCCTTGTGCTGGGGCAGATGAGAGGAAATGCGGTCTGGGCGCTGGAGGGGTTGGGCAAACTCACCCGTGAGCCGGTCCTTGGCAAAGCGGCGGCCGCTGTCCATCCAGGGGAAGGTGAGTCCCGTTAAGCCACCGGCGCCGCCCAAACCCGAGGGCCCAGGCACTGCAGGAGCGCCTCCCGCGGGCGGCGGCACGGGCAGCGGGCGGTGAGCCGGGACACGGATCACGCCTCCCGGGCCCACTCCGGAGCTGGGTAGCGAGGCCAAAGAACCTGTGGGACCGTAACCCGCGGCGGTTCCGTGAAATCCGGCCGGGAACGCTGTGCTCTCCCCATGGCTCTGGCTCAAACGACCCGAGCCTAGGCTGCCCCCGGGGGGTTCTGGGCCGCCCAGGATCTGATCGATGCCAAAGCTGATTGGCTCGTGGTGCGGGAGGTTGTGCGGAGCCAGTACCGCCGGCTCCATGGGTCTTGGCCTGGAAAGGCTGCAGGGAGGTGCGGTGGTTGGGGAGGTTGCCTTGGGCAGCTGCCGGAGCCCAGCGGTGATGCGCTCCAGGCGGCGGCCTCAGGGGCCCTCGGGGTCCGCCACGGCGGGGCGCCGGGGTCCCCGGAACAGCAGCATCTCTGTGCACCGGGAGCAACAGCGCCGGTGCCCGCCGCTGCCGGGGGTCCACTCAGGGACTCGCATCCCGGGGGGAGCACCGCCTGGGCGGGGGGCAGGAGCTCCCTTGCTGGCGCTGAAGCGCGGATGGACGCTGGGCTGCCGGGCCGCTGTCCAAGTCCCGGGTGGAGAGGGTTGGCCCGCTCCGGTAAGGGCAGTGACTGACAGATCACCCCGGGTGGATAGTGGGGGCTGGAGGTAGGGCAGGGGCGGGGCCCGGCCGTTAAAGGGGAAGGGACGCCTCGCCTGTTTGCGCCAAACACGGGGGGGAAGACTGGCCGGTCAGGCTATGCGGGGCGGGGGAGGGCGAGGCTGTTAGGGACCAAGCTCTGCGCGGGAGGGGCCCCAGCCCCGGCCGGCCGCTGAGTCAGCCAAGATGCTCACCGCGCCTCCATCATCGCCGGCCTCCGCCTTTGGGCTTCGTCGGCCTTGCCGGCTTCCTCGGCAGGTGCCCCCTCCCTCAGCCCCCACTCTCCGCCTCCCGATGGGTCCTGCTCGCCAACTCTGGGATTCGTTGTGGCTCCCGCCTAAATACCCTCTAAAACCAAATCTCGTTGTGGCTTCTTGGCTGCGTAAGAAGCTGCTGGGAACGGCGACCCGCGATCTGGAGGCCCAAGGAAAAGCTCAGGTGTGGGGAGGGCTGGCAGGGCGCGTTCGGTGGGCTAGGGCGGGGATCAGTTCCTCGGGGCTCATGGTCCTAGGGCACCGCACGCCTCTTCCGTGAGGTCCCCAGCTCCGTACCGGCACGCCAGTAACGGGTGCCCTATGTTTCTCACAATTTCGATTTTCTAAAATAAGTAAAGAAGACTGGTGGCTCAGCTGTGGCCAACCTGGGGTGAAGGGGCTTGGGGCTGGCGTTCTGGCCCCAGCTGCAAAGTGCGGAGAATAGGGGTGCCAAGGCGTGGCTCTGCTCCCCTCCATCCTGCGCCTTCTCCCACACTCTCTCCCTCTCAAAAGTGAGAGGGCAAAATCATCGCAGGCGACACGTGGGACCTCGCTGAAGCCCAGAAGGGCTCTCACCCGCCTCCTTTACCATGGAGTCTGCACCCCACCCAAGCCCCAGAAAGTATGCCTGGAGCATGTCAGACAAGGGAGGTGGGGAAAGAGCCAGGCTGCTCAGTGACCTCGTGACCTTTGGCCGCGGACCCAGGCGCTGGGAGTGTGTGAACCCTGCATCCTTCCCCGGGATGGGACCCCTGCGGGCGGGCCCCTGAGCCTTAGACCCGCCCCCGCCGCCGCCCTGCCCGGTGCAGGCCGCCATAATCGGGTTAGCTGGGCCGGAATTACATTACCTTCCCCAGCCCGCCCTGGCCCTTGGGGGGGCCCTGGCGCCTCCGAGCCGGTGAGACTGGGCGCGGGGAGGGGGGCCCTCCTACCATCCCTCAGCTGGTGGGCACCAAAAAGCAGCTCAGCCTGCCTCCAACCCTTGGTGGCCAAAGGACCCCACCCAGCTGTACAGGCCCTCGCCCCTCACCCTCAGCCCACTCCAGTGTTCAGCTCCATTCTGCCGCTTTCCCGTGTTCACCGAAATGTCTAAGTCTAGAGCATGGGTCTCCGTGGAGCACTGGTCTTCCTACTGATCCTCCAGGATCCCTTGGGAAAGACTCTGCCCCTCCTTTCTCCCCAGCAGATGGGCTGGCAGCCTGGCGCCTCAGGCAGGGTGAGGGGGTCTTATTTCTCCTGGGAGCCAGGAATGACATTGGGCATCTGGGCAGGAAGAGAAAGAAGAGAGTGAAGTGAGCTCTCCTCACCCTAAGGCATCAGCTCCCCCCCCAACCCGCCTTGCCCCCCTCCCCGCCCCAGCATTCTCAGAAACCTCTGTTTGAAGGGGTCAGCCATGGGGGCTGGGGGGTACAGAGAACATTAATGTGTGACAACCTTGAAATACTTGAAACTTGTATAACAAATCAAAAAAAATTTAAATATATGTGACAACCTCCCCCACCTTTGTCACCTCTGTCATCCAGTTTCTGCAGCTTTCCACCAACCCTGATCCCAGCCCCTTCTGAAAGGGCACAGCAGGTCCTGGTGAAAGCGACAGACACATGGTGATTCCCTCCTCTACCCTTTCACAGAAACCCTTTCTAAGCAGTCAAAGAAGTTTGCAAGGGAGCACGAACCCTCTGCTGTTCCAGCAAAACCTTCAGAGGCTGGAGTCCCTCCGATGGGAACAGAGCAAAGAGATACAGAAAAGGGGCTGGTCTGCAGGTTAGGAGTTTGCCGGTCACTCTCCCAGTTCTAGAGGGTACCGGCTCTGTCTCCAGCCAAGCTGAATAATCCTCCTTGAATGAATCAGTGAATGAGAAAAAGGTAAAAAAAAAAAAAAAAAAAAAAAAAAAAAAAAGGCTCACTGGGTATCCCTAGCTTCTAAGCTCAGCACAGATGGCACCACCACCCAGAGATTGCCCAACGGACACGAGCTCAGTATCACATACACATCTGGAGCGTCTTGCTGTTGTCTGAAGATCTTATGCCCCATTCCAAGAGCAGGGGGCCTCCACCTCTCTGATGCTCTGGGAAAGGATGGTTCCTGCTAGTTCCTGTGGATGATGGAGGCAGGGACCGACGCCCCTCGGGCACACTGTGTTGGCTGGGTCCACCACATCCTGTGTCTTTGTGTTCCCCCTCCCCAGCTCTTCACTCGTTCAGCCTTCACAGGAAGAGGCCAAGCTCCCAGCCTGGGCTCCCATTCCTTCCCTTCCTTCCTGTCAGTGCGTGTCCCACTATCTCACATCTTTATCATCTGGGCAAAGTCTTGGTCTGATTCTTCTCACGGAAAATGTTTTTCTTTCCCTTTTACTGTGCACACCCACTGCCTCCATTTCCTCATCATTTATTCTTGCTTTGACCGAATGCAAGTTAGCTTCACTCTGGCCCTTTCTCAGAGAGTTGTAGTGTCCAGTGCCCCTTCTCCAGGACTTCGCTGGCATGCTTCACCTTGCTGACCACCAGCTATTTTCGGGAAATGCCCTTTCTTTAGGCTTCTGTGATATTGTCTTATTCTATAGCTTTGGACCTGTGTAGTCACTGTTGTTTTTCCTCCACTGACTTCCTTTCTTTTATTGCAAACTAGGATCATTCTTCAGAGCTAAGACTTCAGCTTTCAGAATCTCTATGTCTGCTCAGGTTTCATCTACTCTGATAATCTTTACTTGCACGCCCACCCAGACAATTCTGAGGACTTCTTTCCTGTTTCTGACACCTGAGCCCCACCACTCACCCGTCTTTCTAGCCAGCTCCACCGGCCTTTCCTGAAGCCCTCTAAGTCCAAGAAACTGGAGGACATGCTCCCCTCCCAAGCTCCTCATCCACCCTCTACCAAACCAGAGCCCTGGCCACCTCTGCCTGTCACGCTTCCCTTTGGAACGTTTCAGATGCAGCCCTTCCTGTCCATTTCATGGCTGAAACCCTGATCTAGGCTGTCCTCACCAACACCTGGATTCAGCCATGTGTTCACTCAGAAAGTTTTGATTGAACACCTACTGTGCACCTGGCACTGGAGAGCTATAGCTGTAAACACAAGAAAAAAAAAAATATATATATATATATCCCTGCCACTGGGAAGCTTACAGTCTAGTGGGAGAGACAGATGAAAATCTAGAAAAACATATATTAGAAAAATATGTTAAGTACTAATAAAAGCTATGAGTGCTAATAAATGCTAAGATGAAAAATAAAGCAAGGAAGTGAAAGATGGGTGGGTTATTTATCTAGAGCAATCACAGAAGCCGCATGGAGTAGAGAGCAGAAAGGGGGGAGGGAGTCACTTGCATAACTGAGCAGCTCAAGTTGGGGAGACAGAAGGAGCATGCCCTGTGTGTTCATGCAACCACCAGGGCTCCTAGGCAGGGCCTCATAGACCACTGCAAGGACTTCGGTTCTACTTCTGATAGGAAAGGGGAGCTGCTGAAAGATTTGAAATAGGAAAGAGAAACAACCTGATTTTTTTTTCAATTTTATTTTAACAGCTTTCTTATGGCATAACTGACAAAGAAGCTGCAGGTAAAATATACACTTTAATAAGTTTAACATGTGTGTACACCCAGGAAACCATCACAATCAGAGTAATAAACATATCCACCACTTTGAAGACCTTCCTGCGTCTTTTTGAATTCACATTTTGTCAGAATCACGCTGAGCTGCCATGTTCAGAGCAGCCTAATAGAGGACCAAGGATGGACACGAGGAAGGCAGTCCAGGAGCCACAGCAGTCGTTTAGAGGGAGGCTGGGGCCAGGGAGGGAGGGATGGCTGATTAATAAACCGCTGATTTCCTAACTTGTGGCCGCTGGGGAGAAATGGGCAGAAATGTTCCTTTCCTGGAGTCATCTTCTTCCTCCAGAAAACTCCACCAGCTCCCTACTGCCCTCAGGCTAGAACTCCTAGTCCCATCAGTCCCTGCCTCCTCTATCACCACTCTCAAATCCAAGCCTAGACCGCCTTCCCGTCCTCCGGTCACTGCCCTCGACTCTGCCTCTCCATCTCCACCACTCTTCCACCCACTCCCCCTTGGCCAAATTGGCCCTGCACAAAGTCCCACTTTCTCCAGAATGCCTTTCCGGATTCTCTACCGGGATCGCTGTCTCCTCAGATCTGCAACTGCACAGTAACTTTCCTCTTCCTACTCCCACTGTAAACACCCAGGGAGGTGGTGTGCAAGCCCTGGGGCTGCTGCCTCCTCCCCAAGCGCGGAGCTGGGCCCATGCTACTGCAGGCGCTCTCCGCCAGCGTGCGTCTGCGTGCGGCAGTGTCCTAGCTGTCCTCCCCTCCTCCTTCGGCATCTGCTCTGCATTAGTCTGTCCCAGGCCTCCGCAGGCGCCGATGATTAAATCATCATCATTAACCAGGGCCTGCCCCCCCATCCCCGGCAGCAGGGGGAGAATGGGGGGGTCAGAGCACTACCAAGTCCCTAGGGGTCTCTACTCCCCACACACCGGCCTCCCACCTCTTGGCCCCGTCTCCGAGACTCCGCAAAGCCCGGAGAAACTCGCGCCGCGGAGCGCGGAGAAGGCCCGCCATCTGGACGAAGCTCCGCAACACGGACGCGTCAGCCGACACTAAGAGGAAAGGCCCCAGAAGGGGCTTCTTCAGCAGGGTTTCGGTCACAGAAGACCGACGACCCTGAGCGGGAGCGGGTGCAGACCTCCAGGCCCTTCGGCGTAGGAGGGAGCAGTTTTTCGCAGGCTCCAAAAGTTAGTCCCGAGATCGGGTAGGGTCTACTACGATGACTCCTACAAGACATCGAAGAGATAGGACCCTGGCTCACTGCAACCCCCCACCCCCCCACTCCCTAATTACCGATTGAGGAGGGGGAGGGGCCAGTGGGGCTCAGGTGAGCACACGGGGGAGATAGCGACATGGGCGGGGCCTTTCAGAGGGTGAGCGAATCCGAAAAGACCTAGGCCCTCGTTGCTGGGAGACAAGTCCCGCCCCGCAGGCGGCACCGGAAGTGGCAGGCCGGGATCTGCCTTTAAGATGGCGTCTCCTCAGGGGGGCCAGATTGCGATCGCGATGAGGCTTCGGAACCAGCTCCAGTCAGTGTACAAGATGGACCCGCTACGGAACGAGGTGCAGGGGCGGCAGGGTTACTGCTGTGGTCGGCTAGCATTGCGAACTGAGGCGGGCTGGAGGACGGGCGGTGGCTGGCCAGGAGCCCAGTGCGCCTGCGCACAGACTGGGTGCCCTATGCGCCTGCGCGATTGCGGTCGGGTTGCCAAACTCCGGGCTAGAACGCCTGCGCATTGTGCAGCCAACGTCGTGTAGTATCCCCTGGGAAAGGAGAGTCAGGCGAGTCCACGTGAAGGGAGCCCCTGCTGTGCGCGGAGCCCTCTGCTGGGCGGAAGGGGAGTGCCAACTCCTGGGAGCTAATCCCCAGCTGATGGCATGGGATGCTGGGCTTGATCGTGGAATCTGAAGAAAGAGACGACGCCAAGTTGGCAAGGTGTATGGGGTGGGGGTGGGAGTGGGTGGTCGGTGACCGAGGGTGCGTCGGCAGGAGGAGGTCCGAGTGAAGATCAAAGACCTGAATGAGCATATCGTTTGCTGCCTGTGCGCCGGCTACTTCGTGGATGCCACCACCATCACAGAGTGTCTTCATACTTGTGAGTGCCCTGAATCCTGCCTGGTTCTTCCAGGCCCTCGCCTTCAGCAAGTTAGCAGCCTCTGTGCTTCACCCCGCCCATAAAACCCGTTCCTAGAAAGGATGCGAGCCTGCTTTTCTCTTTGTGCAGTCTGCAAGAGTTGCATTGTGAAGTACCTCCAGACCAGCAAGTACTGCCCCATGTGCAACATCAAGATCCATGAGACACAGCCATTGCTCAACCTCAAGCTGGACCGGGTCATGCAGGATATTGTGTACAAGCTAGTGCCTGGTTTACAAGACAGTGAGTGACCAGCTGGGGCTTTGAGGGTCCCCCTTGAGATCTAACGCTGGGTGGCAGCTTCAAATGACAAGGGCTTTAGGGATTGTGTAAGTGAAGAGGTTAGCAGCCATAGAGACAAAGCATGCGGTCCAATACTTCACTCC